TTAGCACAGTGATGGCGTTGGGTGCGGTGCAGGTGGTAGTCTTTGGCCGCTGCCGCTCGCCCGCGGCAGTCCACTCTGGTTGCTGGCAGCAGGTCCGACTCGCCACCATCTTTCCCTGCTGCCCAGGGGACCCAGTGTCCTCCCCTCGCTGTTTCAGTTGTGAGCTGGCAGCATATGTGTCCACCACAGCTAAGAAGCCGGGCCAGGCCTTGCTGCCCCATGTTGAGGCTCTTGAGCAGGTGGCCCCTGTTAGGCGAGGGAGCAGGCCTGCACTTCAGTACTGCTCCTGCTGCTTCAACTGGTGGAATAGCTCCTCTGCTCCACCTGGGAGCCAGCACCTGTCTGTCTGTTTCCTTGCAAGGGGAAAACGGCTAGATACATAAGGCTTGTGGCTGTTAAAAAGGGATCCTAGTTCGATCATGAGGATGTTGAAAAAAGCTGTGCTATGCAAAATCTCAGTATTTAATTGCCTTTTTAACATGAAAAAGAGCATTAGTGCAGACTAGGTCCCACAGGGGGTATTTAGAACCTAAAATGGCAGTATTCTTTCCCGCTCGGTGGTCTTTCTGTTTTATGGTTTTGATTTCATTGTTTTCTATTATTCACTATATGTCTCTTAAGTCACAATATGGGGCTGACTTTCTTGCCAAAATAAAACCTCTGGGGATTTTTCTTACTAGGGACTTCCTTTTCTTTGTGAGATGCTTTTTTTCCTATTAATGTTATGTAAGATTAGATACAGTATTTTGCTGCTCATTTTTACAGGGTGATTTGTTTTCGAATTGTGTTTTCCCTGGTGGCTGAGCTTGCAAGTATTACTTGCTCTCAGTGGGATTTCTTGCTAAAGTAATTCCTGCTCTGTAGATTATAAGTGGACAGGATCAACCCTGTCCAGCTTCCATTTCCAGAAAGGTGGGAAGGGAGGAGAAAAAGAAACGTATCAAATTCGGGGGAGGGCAGAAGTAATGCCAAGGATTTCTACTCCACCACTTAAAAATGTCTATTTAAAGGCACTTACTGCATTAGACTAACAGTTTCACACCCCAAAGGTGGTAAACATGGCTGAGGATAAAAAAACCTTTGTTGATGAGATAAATAAAACATTGGCAAAGTCTGAAGGGCTTACCTTGAAGGATCTGCTGTTCTCCTACCAGGGGACCCCGTATCCTGTCACAATGTGCAGTGTGGAAACTTTCCAAGCCCTGGAGAACCTGGAAGCCAGAAGAGATGATATGGTGCTGGTGTCCTATCCCAAATGCGGTGAATACATTATAAATTGCTTGCTGTAGTCTACAATACTGTAGCTAATTAGCTGACATAGTAAGAAGGAAAACCAACTGATTGTGGTTGTACGTTGTGTGAAGATACTGGGCATTTATACTACCAGAGGCAGCAGGTTTTTGTCCTGCTTTATCTTAATTAAGCAGTCTGTGCACTGCTTTTTAATATGGTTTATGTTTCTGAAAGGAAAAGAAGTTTTAGTGTTCAAAGATATTTTTGGCTGAAGAAGTGAGAATAAAGTACGTAGTTTTTTATGTATCAGTGGGACAAGACAACTCCGCCAGTATGATAAACTGTATTCTGAAAAGCATGTTAGTAATGTAATGTAGTGTAGTATACAAAAGCAATAAAGTTATGCATTAGACTCTTTAAGGTGTAGAAAGTGTCATGGCACAGCATCTTTACTTGCAAAATTACAAGCTGTTTCTTGACATTATTCAGTATCAGCATTCAAAATGGTATTGACTAAGACATACTGGAAGTCTAAATCTTTTAGTCAGAGGTTTGCAGAAAGGGGGAAAGGTGCAGGAGGAGCAGTGAAAAAAACCCAAACAACCAAGTAGTTGATTTTGATCAGTTTTATTAAAAGTCAATAGTGACATGGTTGCTTACAAGGAACGGATGGGTTTTGCTAATCTAGGAAGTCCTATCCAAGCATATGTTTCTTCTTTGAGACCCAAGCAGCAGAAGCTTAGGCTTGTCGGAGAAAATGTGGATCCAGGGAAGGATTTCATTGCACTAGCATGGTAGTAGATGTGGTCAAGTTGGGCTCTAACCAGAGAGTCCTAGGTCAAGGTCTCATTCAGCACATAGAATTCCCATTGGTTGGCGAGTTCTGATCTGGAAAGAAAGTGTTATGTATTTAGGGGCTTAAGAAGTATGCCTGTAGTGTTTAGGGTGAATTTATAGCAGCTGTGAGACAGGACACTGAACCAAGAGAAAGAGAGGGGAAATACAAAAGGAGGGAGCTTGCACAAAATGTGAAATGTGCATCTTCATTTTAAGGAGCCTGTAATTCCATTGGGTTTGGGTCCAGAGTTCTGCTGGACTCTATATAAAGACCTAAAAGGTCATTGTCATAATGTGGCACTGGCTTTGATTTCTTACAGAGTTTGGAAGAGTTCAGACATGGAGTTGTGATGTGGATAGCCTTTGAGGTTTAGTAACTCAGTAAACCTCTCCTGCTCAGGGAGAGGGATCAGTAGATAAAGAAAGAGATCTCACACTGTTAATATCGGGCAGTTTGTGGTAGGTAGGTCAGCAGGGGGAAATTTTACCAAAGACCGCTGCCAGTTGTTCAGTAGGAGAGGGAGTACACAGCTCCCTGTGGTTTGACAGGGAATGCAGCACCCTGTTACCTGGCAGGCACTGCTGGAAAGGCATGTACAGGAGGTTGCACGGAAGAAATGGGAAAGCAGGAGGGAAAGAAAATGCTGTGTTTGTGCAATGCAGTCTAGTTACAATCTGCAGGTAAATCTTTTGGAATTTTCTCCCATTTGGATGTTTGCTCTTATACTCTTAGACAGTGCTAAATAGATTTCTTGTCCTCATTTCCTATAGCTTGCTAAGTGGGGGGAAAAAAGACAAGAGAGGAGGATAAAGAATGAAAAGGAAAGATTACCTGCCCCAGTTTAGAACCAGAAATTGCTGGGCTCCCTCTTGCCCCTTGATGCCACATATAGACCCACCAAGCCATAATGTCACCAGCTAGTAATAAAAATCTCTGTGCAGGCCTCTTTCCCTCTTGAACCAAGGGAGCCTGGTGTCTGGCTTCCTCTGCCAGCTTCTCAGGTGTTTTCCATTCTGGGCTCAAACACTTTGGCATTTGACGGGTTTAAATGGTCATGAACATGCCTCACATTGAGGCTCTTCAAAAAACACATTGAGGCCCTTCAAAAGCTTTGTCTCTCAAAGCTTTAATATTGTCCTCATTCCTTCTACTTACTAAGTATTATGAAGGTTAAGTTACAGTAAAGTCTCACTGTATAAAAGGTTTCCCCCAACTGAGGTGTGTGCAGTGGAGAGGAAAACTGATGCGGAGAACTATTGATGAGATAGGGGTAAAAGACGATGGAGCTCCAGGATGCAGTACTTCCCAGGGACGGGTCACATGGTTGAGAAGCCAGTAGGGGATTTAGAGACTAGGAATTTTAGGTTTATCAATTGTAGTTTTTCATTAAAATTTGTATTTGCCCATGCAGTTAGTACTGGGCAGATGAGGACATGGATCTGGAGACTCTTAATGCTTTTGGCTCTGGTCTGTATGTAGATGAGAGAGTGATGTAAATGATATACATCATACAACATCTTATATATAAATATGATATTGAGTGGTATATAAATGTAATATATGTATTATAAGACGTTGTATGATGTGCACACATTGCATACACATTACTGTATAAATGACATGTATCGTCTGCTTCCATTCAAGCGTCCCGAGGCACTTTATATAACACAGAGTGGAAGTTATTCCTTTCTGGGAATAACTTTCCACTGAAAGCATAAGGTTAAAGCTGTTTGCATTGTGTGTTCCCTGTTAGCGCCTCTGGCAGCTGCGTTCACAGGGGACTCGCAGCACGCAGGAGGTGGCGGCAGCTCCGCAGCTCCATCTCTGTGGGCCCGGTGGGAAGCCTTCCAAGCGCCTCCCCACTAGGACGCGGGGAGGGTGCTGTGGGCCAAGGTGAACTCGCTGTTCCCTCGCTCTGTCCTGCCAGCGATCGGCAGAGCATCAGTGGAGCAAATGTGATTCCTGGAAACCTTGAGGAAGCAGGCACCACGGCGCAGCTCCAGGCGCTGGCCACAGGCTCATGCTGGAACGGGATGCGGTATGGGGGAGGCTTTGCTGCAAGATCCCTTCCAAAGGGTGAGGGGTAGGGAGGGATGCAGGTGTCCAGTGGGTAACAGCTGTTCTAGCACTTGTTCTGGCATGCACTTTATGGAGACAGCAACAGGCACAACTGAGGACAAGCACTGGCAGTGACATTGAATAGATGACTCCATTTCATCCTTGACCCAGGGCAGTAGAGAGAGGCAGATGCCTTCCTCAGCAGAATGAGTGAAGCTCCGTGCTCATTCCTACTTTCTTGTATCCAGACCCTTCCCAGGTGTTATCGTCTGTCACTGACTGTTCTATGAATATATTAAAAAGATGGTAAGTACATCGTTGAGTCAGTTCTCCCCCCAGTGCTTTCCACATACCAGTTATAAGTGAGCCAGGAAGGTCACAGTTAAGAAGCTGTTGAGGATCTCATTAACGGAAAACATTATTTTGTTTATAATAATTTGAGAGCTTTAGTGTTATTTGTCATTTGATGACTGTCTATTATGCTGAATTAAGCCATGTAATGAGAAGGCTCTGAGATCTTACATAAACCTCTGATATGTTTTATTTTGTTCTCTGGGTTTCTTGGTGCAGGTGTGAACTGGCTTATCCAGATTTTAAGTGATTTGATATTTACAACTATCCAGAGTAAACCTGTAAGCACGGAACTACCATTTATTGAATGTGGAGATCCAGATAAATATCAGGTTAGTGAAAAGAAACTATTGAACCACTTAAAGTCTGCTGTTTCCTCTCTCCTGCACCCCTGCACACAAGTTATTAAAATGAAGTCATGCAGCAAGTGAAGATACTTCTCCTGAGAGGGGAAAAAACATAATCTTGGATGACTAGTGGCATTTGATTAGGGGCTGTTTCACACAGGTGACTCTCACAGATCATTGCTGCACCCATGTAGTAAACCTATTCTCACTTATGGTTCTGTTTATTTCTAGAGGATGAAGCAGATTCCATCTCCAAGGATTTTGGCAACGCATCTGAATTATGATTGCCTCCCCAAGTCTATTTTCAAGAACAAAGCCAAGGTGGGCTTTTTTCTTTTTCCAAGAACAAGCCTCATCTCTCTGACAGTACCAGCATGCAAGAGTAATTTTGGGGCCACATTCTTTTCTTGCACCCAAGCAGGTGGCACTGGGGGAAAGCAACTTGGAGACAGTGGGGGTCTTATGATGCCTGGGCTGGCTTAGCACCCCCTACAATTTACAGTAGCCTTAGGGGTGCTGTAGTTGACATGAACAAGAACAGATCTGGAGGCTGTTGCAGTGCTCAGAAATGGCTGGAATGTCATGCTTTCATTTTTTACGCTGCTCTTTTCTGTGCACGACCATGGTGGGAATGATTGTGGCAGCAGTATCTCTGGGACGTTGGATGTCTCCTTGCAAAGAGTCATGTTCTTAAAACTTTAATATTTCTGGTACTCGGTCACTGAACAATGGTGGATACATAGCACTTAGGAGATGTGCCACAGATGAAGGAAATAATTGGTTAAGGGATGGGGATTTTTTTCCATGTTTCATTGGTATTTTTTCCTGTATGAGACAGGAAAAAATGTAACGTGTATAACAAAAAAATTTAATGTGTATAGCGTGTTTTCAGAAGTGTTTACGCTTCTCTGAGGATTACAGTCTCTTAGGATTTCAAGAACATTATTGCCATGCTTTGAAAAATGGGAGATGATTGTAACAGCTGTGGTTTCCTGAAGGAGAATCGAGCAGAGCTTTTCCTAGCAGGGGGTTGGCAAATGGTTCCTTACAATTTCCCAGGTCTTAGGTAGTTATGGGATAGTATTCAATGACAATATTACAGTTTTTTCAGTTGCTTCTTTCTACAATTGCTTCATGCCATAAGCAAATCTTAGAAGTGGTAACAAGGTCTTTATTATGATCACATTATAAATTTGTTCTCCATGCCTTAACTAATAAAATATTTTATAGCCCCCACTATGTTACTGGTTGCAGAATGTTTGGCTATACTTTCATTTTGGTTGCCAGGGGAAATAAGTGATCTAAAATTGTTGACCTCTTTTTTCCCACTCCAGATACTAGTGCTGTTTCGAAACCCTAAAGATACAGCTGTTTCATTTTTCCATTTCCACAAGGATGTGCCAAGCATCCCCAGTTACAGCTCCTGGGATGAGTTCTTCTCAGAGTTCATGAATGGGAAAGGTATTGTAATAGTTACTGAATGTAGCTGAAGGAGCAACAGAAAAAAAATATTTAAAAACAACTAAATGGGGCCAGTGGGAAAACAGCTGTGTCATAATTAGTTTACTGATGGCCATTCGTCATGATAAAGGAGGCAGCTGAATGCCAGAATGGGGAGAATGTCTAAAAGATGCTTTGCTTCTGGGTATTTTGCTCTTCCAGGCAAGGGTGAAGGAGTTGCATGGCAGTTTGATGATGGCATTGGGTCAAAATTCTGCCCTTTAGTGATGGAGGAAATGCTACAGATCTGAAGTGGTAATAAAGTGACAGTTTGTTGCCTTTGCTGTTTCTGTGCATGAGGCCAAACACCTCATCAGCAACCCAAATTTTAGATTTAGACTGATGGTCTGGCTTTGGCTTTCAAGAGATGTTTAAATGACAATATAGTAATAGAGGGGAAGCACACAGTGAAATTCATATTTCTGTGTGGAAACCATTTACCTGCAAAAGTCCAGAGGAAGCCTCTGTCATTCTGTTGTACAGTATGGTACCATGGAAAGGACTGGCTGTTCCGTTTGTTTGCATTGATGTAACCGATGATAGGCAACAGGATGCAATTCTTCAGTCGGAGAGAAATAAGTACCCAGTAAGAAAAGAAGGTCACACTGATGCTTTTTTCTCTTCTTTACAGTCGGCTGGGGATCCTATTTTGATCATGCAGTCACTTGGAACAAACACATTGAGGATGAGAATACTATGATCATAATATATGAAGACCTGAAAGAGGTAAAGCAGATGCTGTGTACTGTCAGGCAAAACACGTCTGAGCCCATTCCTTGAAATCTGCTGAAATTAACAGCAAAAGGCACAGGTTTCTGAAAGAGCAAAATCAAGTTCATTTTAGTGACAAAAGCTGATCTCCGGTGTAATGCAGAAAACATACTGTGAAGGAAAATATATCTTGTTAATAGATGATGGCAATGCACACCCCAAGTGGGTAACTCCTTTTTCAGAGGAAGCATATTGCATGTCTCCCTTTCACTGTATTGCTTTCAGAACCTGACTGCCAGTGTAAAGCAGATAGCTGAATTCTTTGGATTCTCCCCAACGGCAGAGCAGATCCAGTCCATTGCAGACAGGGCGAGTTTCCAAGCAGTGAAGGATAAGGCGCAAGAGACTCATGGTCCTGTTGGCTCAATTCTTTTCCGCAAAGGTAAATTTGTTTGTATTTTGTCAGGGTGGTGAATGGTAGCACTGCATCTTGGGGAGACAGGAATCTGGATCAGTAGATGGTTAATCTTTCTGTATAATATTCAAGGTTGGGAGTTGTTTAAGAAACACTGATTGTGATTCAGAACGCTGTCACTTGATTTTATCACAAGGGCCAGTACCATTCGGTAAAGCCCTGTGTAGTGTGATTAACAGAAGTGCCCTACAAGTAGCACACCCTTCAGTTGTGGTATGCAGTAAGTGCCAGTTAAAACAAAGAAGAGTTTTATTTTGGCTTCTGTGAGTACAGGGGATAGCCTGGCACTCAGTCTACAGAGTGCCTCCGCAGATTTTTCTTCTTGGGTTTTCTAAATAACCCTTGTGATTGCCTAAGAACCTCAGTCAACAGGTGGAATCCAGACACTCCACAGATTGAACTGTGTCTTTTAGCCGTGGATCAAGCTAGAGCAGTAGACTCGGACAACCTCAGCCTGTGGGCTCTCCAAAATCTAGATTAAAGGTAGACTACAGCTTAGGGCAGTGTCTGGTTGCAGTGCACAAAGCTTTTGCAGTTAAAAGCCACATCTTTGAACTTTCTGGGTTGCTTTCACAACTGCTGGTCATCCTTTATAGTAGTCTTCTGCAGCTGTACAAGGCACATGCCAAAGCTATGAAGGCAGACCAGTAGCTTCCTATGTTCGCTTTATGCTCACATTCTGTTGAGGACACCAAATATAAGTCGAACATGAGAGTGTATTCTTGGGTCAGAGATTCTTTTCTTGCAGAAAAAAAAGAAAAGAAAAAATGGTTATCCTGAAGTATAATAATAAGAGAGACAAGGTAGTTTTTTGTTTTAAATCATACTCCTTGGTCCTTAGAGTAAAGGGTAATATTTTACTTTTCCTTATATTCCAGGTGTTGTTGGAGACTGGAAAAATCTTTTCACTGAAGCTCAGAACCAGGAAATGGATGCCAAGTTCAAAGTGTGCTTAGAAGGAACTAAGCTGGGAGCGAAACTAAAATATGATGTGTACTGCAAGGCTTGAACCTCCTGTAGAGAAAAACCTCATGTCCAAGCTGCCTTTCATTCACTTTTATGAAATAAAACAGAAACCAGGACAATATCTGATTTAAAAATTTTGAAAATCCATGCAATTTGCAAACCTGTTTCTGCTGTTTTAACAGCTGTCTTACAAAAGCAATCCTTGCTCGTGCAGTTAGTATCATTGACTTCACTGGATTCTCTTAAATGACCTGTAGTTCTTTGGCTTCACTTGGTTTTTAACACTGATTTTTAGCTGTGATTTCGTGTTACCTGGTAGAATCCTGTGTGGAATATATATGCAGTAGTTAAATCTGCTGAAATCACTGGAAATGTATTCAGTATTTTGGAAGTGATTTTCCAAGAGATTTTTTAAAACAATCATGAAGTGTCATTTTGATTCTTTATTTCAAAGTTCATAGCATTCGTATATAATTTTGATTTCTAAGTTCATAGTGTAAAATGAAATTTTAAAAAGTCTTGTTGTAGTTGTCTTTTGCCACGTTCTGTGTGCTGATAAATGTGTGAAAAAAGTAAAGGAACTCAGTGGAAATTTTCTCCCCCTTTCGGCAATAATATTTTTCTTTACTTTGGTAGTGTGAGTTCTCATCCTGAGCAATTGAGGGAATTGCCTTGGATAGAACTTGCTCATGGAGGTTGGAGTCCCCCTCCTGGTGGTGGCTTGCTTTGTTGCTTAACCTCAAGAGAGGGTTACCCATGGGGGAAGTTGGTTACCCATGGGGGAAATTGGAAATACATGTTGAGAATACCAGGTTTTGTCCACGTGATTGTCAGGACTCCTGAGCACCCACCCTGCTTTGGATGTTGAGGAAGCACATGAAGAAGCTCCTAGCTGGGCACAGGACTGGGAGGAAGTCACTTCTTTGTGGTATCAAGGCAGGGGGGTTGGTAACCATCTGGTTGACTTTTAGGCATGAGAGAAGGAAGTGTGCTACTTGCATAACTCTGGAAATGGAGCCTTTGCCTGGGTTGTCTGGGTTTGTCTGGGTTACTTTATGCCTAACAGTAGTACATACTGTTATACTCTGATTTCAGAGCCAGGATGTGGATTTTTTCTGGACATCTGGGAGCTTTGAAGTGCCACTGCCAAGAACAGAATGACTCTCCTTTGTTGGTGCCAGAAGACCGGTGTGCACAAGAGGATTGAACATTGAATGGTCCCATAAAAGGCTGACTTTTTAGGCTGCAGTTTTCCCTTGGGACGCTGATTAGACACCAGTCTTTGACAGCTGGTTGTTTTCCCCACCAGAGGCATTTCTTTATCTCCAAAGAGAAGGAATACAAAGGAAAAAGTACTCGGAGAAGGAATGTGTGGGTAATGGGCACACAGTTGCTAATTTAGCCAGTAGGGGAGGTTAAAGTCTTCATCCCCATAGTTTGTCAGCTTCTGTCTGAGAAATAATTGGCTTAAACGTGTAAATGACTTGGCAGAAGGAGTGTTTGTTACAGATACGCTGGTTAGAAAATGTACCTTAGCCAGGCTGAAAACTCAAGTATTGGGTACTTGAGGTGTTCACACAGATGGACTTTGTGAGACCTTCTGCTGCACACTTCGTCAGCTGATGGTAAATGCAACAAACTGCCAGTTATTCAGTGCTAATGAGAATCCCTTTCTAAAAGTGGCAGGGGAATGATCAAGACAGGTTAACTTCAGTGGATAGTTAGGAACATCTTGTCATTTTGTAGTCAGGTCTCCACAAAATCTTGTTTGTTTGTTTTTCCTGGCATATCCCCCTTTAATTTTCTTCTCCTGTTCTAGCCGTGTTTGCTGTAGCAATGAAAACCGCATACAGCTCACTGACGGCGTAAAAAACCTCCAGCTTAGGTCCTTTAGGTTGACTAGCTAAAATGCCAGTGTCCCAAAGACTGGCATTCACATGATGGGAAGAAAGGATCAATGCAAATGTGAATTTGCTTTCAAAATTAACAGCTGTAATAATGACTATTTAAAATAAGTAAACCAAAAGTGGGGTACCAGTAAGGATTGGAGAGCAAAATAGAATACACAAACCCAAACTGTATCAGAATGAAGTTGGTTAATACCAAATAAATGAAAGTTTCAGGTCGCTAAAGCTATCTCAAACAAATCTGGGGTTCCCTATAAGCTTTACATAAGCACTGGAAAAAGCAGCAGCGTTCCTTGGGTCTTTCCCTCAGCTGTAGCTGCTGCAGCAGTAGATCAAGATCATTGCTAAGCAATTAATAAAAGGAAGTTCAAAAGGCTTTGGTTGAGGATAATGTTGAAACAGGAGCACTACTTCCTATTAAAGTAGGTTGCCTGAATTACTGATAGATCAATAGTAGCCAGCCTGTCCACTTAAACAGCCGTATTTCTCAGTTTAAGATTACAATGAAGTATTCCAGGGCAGTTCAAGAGGAAATGCTGTCTCAACATGCTAAACAGGCTACTCTTAAATTTTTGCACCTTTTGACCAGCAAGGTTATTTAAGCTGAGGTTGTTTAGCTATCTGAGGGAATATTTTATAGGTGACATTCTTAAATGCCTTCAGTCTGATCTGCACATTCTTCTCAGCACATATTTACATACTCAGTACTTGCCAGCTGATGATGAGCATTAAACAACATTGAGTGTAAGACTAGTGAGTGTGAGGGATGACTGATTTTTTTGCAGCTTTCTGTGTGTTGTAGGTTCAGTTCTGTTAAAAATGATGTGGTGGGGTAACAGGGAAGAAAGCTAGACATAATGTCACTGGAGAAAGGGAGAATTTGTAGCTTCCTCAAGCACTTAAGCACATTCAGGATGAAAAAGCACTGCGAAGTGCTTTGAAATGGTGGCATTGAAGGTCAAATCCAGTAGCCCACAATAATTGTAGCTATCGACAGCAGCTAAACTAAACAGAAGATTCAAACCCAACAGAAAAATTAAACTCCTCATTGTGGAAAATCACCAGTCGTATATTCTTTCAGCCATACATATAGGGAGCAATTTTGGATATATATTTTCCATTTCTATGTTTTATCCTTTATATATGTTTTCCCTTTTATACTTTTCTTTTTATTACGGTACTCAGCAATAAAACTTTAAATGGTATTTTTGAGACATAACGTTTAAGGAATGTGTTGGATCATTCAGCTTCTAAAGAAGAGTTTTTTTCACTCCCTGACCACAGTTTTCATTTCATTTTTTCTGTATTTGTGACCTGCTTCACACTTACCATTTTCCAGCAGTTGTGGGTATTTATGAAGTCTACATTTATGGTAACTGGTAAATGCTGCTCTATTAGTACTTTCGTCACCTCCATTTCCCTTATGAGCTGTTTGGTAATAATCATAAGGCAGGGAAGTATATTAAAATGATATTGAAAAAGAGAAATTGGAGGTCTTCTCCAAAGAGAAGCATAAATGTATCTTTTGTATGCGAGAGATGGCTCCTTTGTGTGTGTTCAGGGTGTCAATAACCCAACCCAAAAGGAAAAGAATTCTGGTACTGAATTATAATAGAAGTAAAATGGGATCAAAGCAGACAGAACTGAGCTCAATTTTCTCATTTACAAAATGCAAGCATTTCATATTGCAGCATTATGCAGTACATTAATTGGAAAGACAATTAATGTTGAATTACAATAGAAGTGCTGTAAAAGTACAGGGCACATATCCACAGGAACATCAAATAATTTTTTTCTGAGGGTAGGCTGGCTATTAGAAAGGATGCCAAATGGATTTATAATGAAGGGAGACATGAAATACAGTCATCGCAGTCTTGTTATGACAGCAAGTGCCTGGAGTTGTATGCTAATGGATTTTTTTGTTAAAGTCCTAGCACTTTGATCTGAATTATGGCTGAACGATCACCTTTGGTGGGGATTAGCACCTTCTGTTTTACTCTTAACACACTGCAGAGCTTGGCAACGTACACTGGAAGCGTTGAAATGAGACTGGTCAGTGATTGTTACAGATGTTAATATTGTTGGGATTGATGCAAAGGAGAGAAATAGAGAACAACGACATGATGAATGAGAGCATACTGTGTCAGCGCTGTGTCTGAGTACCTTGCTAGAGCACTCTGCTAAAATGTTATTTACGTTCAGATGTTTATGGTCATGGATACCATTGTCCTGTATTGCTATCGCACTTTGTAATACTTGTAGACTGGATAATATGAAGTATTAGGCAATAAACGATTCAGTTTGCATCTGAATGGGAAGGTTTTTGTATGATCGGCAAAAACTTTAGAGCCTTGAGGAACATAGAAAATTAGTCTTTGCTCAAAACATGAGGCAGTCAGGAAATGAAAGGAGGCTGGGAAACTGGTGTCTTGGGAGGCTTGTGTACTTGTGAATAATATATGCTTATTGACATATGCTTGTGGGGTCTCCAGTGAGTTCCCTGCTGTTTTGCATTTTACAGGCCAGTGAAGCTGTTTTCATTACTCTCCGGCAGCAGGTAAATAAGTCACAGTTTCGTTATTGTGTATTTCTGATGTATCCATAGGCAATGTATTTATATTCAGAGGAAAAAAAATACAAGATAATCTTAGGCATTAGCCATGTCCCCAAAAATGTAAAGAAAAACACAACAAAAAATCCCAAGAAAATGGAATGCTTATGTTCTTCCCTCTTCTTAATTTCTTTTCTGCAGGCACAGAGAGTGATCGGAATAACTTCTGCAGGTGACCAGGCGGTCTCTTCTTTCATTCTGTGGGTGAGTATTTACACCGTCTACAACTTTCATTTTTTTTTCTGGTCTCCCAGCACAATCCACCCTGTTTTTTCCTGATGGCACAGAATTTTTTTTCCCCTGACTGTTATTTATTTAGAAAACTGTTAATTTTTCTTCTTTTTATTTGTTTCTTTTTTTTTTTCCCCCCTGGCAAGCCACTGTGTTTGTCCTCCCTTGCAACATGTAAGCTTCTGGACACCCGCCTTTCTTGCTGCGTGGTACCAGAGGCACCGTCAGCCATTTATGCATCACCATAGAAAAGTTACCTTAATGTTGTTGTGCTGACAAAATATAAATAGAAGA